ATATATATGAGAACAGTATTCCACGGGAGCTCGGTCTCTCTTTTTTTGCCTCAATGCGTGCTGCAATATTTTTCCATTATTATCACTGGTGTGTGATCGATTGTATTTTAGATCACCATAATAATAATAAACGGTTAAGAGCGTGCTTTTGTGTATTTTATTTTTACGCGCAGATTCTTCCCGATAAAACGTTTTCCCTTAAAACACAACCACTACACAAATAAGCCGTATGTGCGTTTAGATCAAGCGAATCCCTATACACATTTCAGTTATTGAAAATATTTATGATATGACCATTGTAGAACTGCTAGATATTTATATTTATGTCTCTATCAGATGAACAGGAGCAAACATTTCTTTTATATTAGTATGTTAACGATAGACGTATGGCTAATTTCCAAATACAAATGAATGAAAAATTGATCCAGGTGCTATTTATTTTTAGCACTTTTCTCACCTTTAAAATTACACAATTATATTGCTAGTTTTATGTGTAATGGAACGTAAAAGGACCTCGAGCAGAATAGATTCTCAATGTTTTGACACTTCACATTTCATAATAAGTAAATAAAATAAGAATAAGCGCAATACATTTGGGCTGTTCTATACTCTATTCCATATTTATGTACTCTTCTTGTAAGCGGCGCCAGAGTTATGATTAGACTGCAAGTGCTTCGCACGTGCTATTAGGTGAAGCGGATTTAGGAACTTAATTAAGTTAACATGTACAAGGCTCAGCATTTAGCTTCTTCGTCCTTCATTCAGTTGCAGGATTCATTAAGGATTCAAGAAAAAGATGAATCTTGCAACAAAATGTAAACATCGTACACCTGACTTTCTTTCTTAGGCGACCACGAACACGCCCCTAATTTTGATGACTATCTATAAGAGCTTACTAGTTCTTGGAAGTTAAAGAACTTGCTCGTGGTGCAACAGAAAGCTTATTTTTAGTCTACACTCCACACTAACATATTGGCTTAGCCAAAACACTAGCACTGCATTCTAATAATTTATATCGAATATGTCACGCAATGCACATGCGAATTGCTGCCATAATGCTGCTTGCGGATGGAATGGGTAGTGCGCCATAATCAAGCATAACTTCCAGTTAAGTCCCCGTAACTATTCTGTACGCCAATGCTACTATAGGCAATAAATCTTTTACGATTCGTTTTTAAGACTTGCAAAAACTATCGCTACAAAGAACTTGCATTATATCAACTAGATGCAGAAAGATGTCGTTAAAAAATCTCTTCTTGGATCAATCTGCTTTGAAATACATATGGAGCACCAGGAAACAACCTTGAAAAGCAGTGAACTTTTGACACTGTCCTCGCCGGCGAAAAGCTGCCCATTGAGCGGGGTAGACTCTTCTCTAGCATCCTTATTTCTTCTTTCTATTTTTCGTCTTCCGCACGGCGCAACTTAGTCAATTGTGTAATAAGATAAATCAGCTGCTGTTTCCGTTTGGCGTTTTTCACCCTTGCTCTTATAATACACTATAGAATTCTGCTGACTAAACTAACACAGTTAGAGATTGGGCTTAACCTCTTTCCTGTACATAAGAAACATGTACTTCATTTATTATGATGCAATTGGTAGAATCGGCTTCAAACTTTCTAAAATAAAAACCTCACCCACACCTCTACTCCGTAAATTCGTAACTATAAGCCGATGTTTTTCATATAGTAAACGTCGCAAACAGCGACATCTGTAAGTAGGACCTTTAAAGTAGATAAGCTCCTATAAGCAGCACCTAGAAAATTGAAGTATCAACATAAAAGGTAAAGGCAAATTGTCACCTAAAAGGTTCAACATAGAATTGATTTAAGTCCCTGCTAAGAGCGATTAAACCGACGATTTCTCGGTGAGCAACATTCATTAATTTTAAAGGCGCTCTGAACGACATCGTCAGGATACATAAAAAGTCAGTTCCTTCTTGCGATTGCCACCAAGGCAAGACAAACGCAATACTATTTAAGTCAAGAAATCTGCTCACTAGAATCGACAACTGAAGTTCGGAGGTGGGTTCCTCGAGTTCGCTAAACGCTTTTGCGCATCAGGGACTTCAGCCAACGCTGGGCAAGCTTCCGCTCCCAACACATATATGTACACGAACATATTAGAGAAGTTCTATCGGCTAGTCCACATCAAAGCGTGGATCCCACCAGGCGATTTGTACGAAAACTGGATTATACCGTCTATGGGCACCGACTCTAATCAGTGCTCACATGTAAGTTATTGAGAACCTCGTTAAGCCCTTTTGTATCTATAAATCTTAATGAAATAATATTTTTTCATTTATGGGTGTGGAATCAAATCCATTGTTTTCAAACGTGAACAAAGTAGGATATGAACGATGTTATGCTTTGTAGATAAAATGGTCTAAAATCGCTTCGCATTGAGATTATTTTTGTAGAAAAAAGGATTTCTTTCGTCAGTTTCCGTCGTTGACTGGTCAGAAAAACAGAAAGTCATGCAAACTGAGACCCATACACGGATTTTAAAGGTAACTTGTTTAATAATGATCTACCAGTGGCTTTACCTAGTGTGACATTATCATCCTGCAATTAAGAAAATAAGAACTCTTATATACTTTATCTCGTCATTGTCATTTTTTAATTCCTTAAAGGCATGGAACACTCGCCAAAGTTGAGAAGGTTTGATAATCTATTGAAACAAGCGAATTCAGGTTAGTGCTCTTTATTTAAACATGATTAAGGAATAGGATCGTTCTTCGCATCCAATATATTTTAGTGGTATACGTGATCCAACCTTCCACTTCACGCTTCTGCTTCAGGATTACTTCGTTTCATCGAAGTTTTTTATAGTTATATTTTGATTCAACCGGAGAAGTTTTTTTTATACCAAATGTTATTCGATATGAGTAGCAAATGCAGATCTAGGTACTATTCCTAGCCTTAATTGTACTCTGGTCGATTTCAAGAAACGCTCTTAACCGCAACGATAATTTACGGTTATTTAAAGTACGGATGAATAGTTTAACCGAATAGAGCGCTATACAGCACGACCGGCCACCCTATAAAAAGAAAACTACTGCTGTAACGTTTCGCTGACAGATCCAGATATGTAATATTTTACCAATATGAATGATTTATAATATTTTTTTTTGAAGGCTTTTTTTTACAATGATGCACGCACGCATACGAATAAACAGGCTGCCTGTTGCTTTATGATTGCATGCGCAAAGCACGAACGGGAAACAGGTAATCTACACTCCACTTTCTGGTTATGACTTTTGATAAAATATTATTGACAGATTTGATATATATCTTGATCGTAGCTGTTCTATGTAGGCAGCATGAGCAAACTAATTATCCGTCCAAAGTCTTTTTTCACACGGCAGCATAAGCGTGATTTTTCAATGAAAGCTATTACTTTTAGGCAAAATAACAGTAGAATAATATTAGCAGCTTGTAGTGACACTGATCGGAGATCTTTCTGAACAACCTTATCCAAGCAAATAATAGTATATATATATATTTTTAAATTATTTGCCATTTTCAGAATAAATGTGGACAGCACTATCGCAGATTTGTCATGCAATTGTAGCATTGTGTGTATTTTAAACGGTATCCAAAAAAAATTCTTTTGTCTTCTACGGAACGCTTCAGGTACATTAGGCCTGTATTGTGTCGACAATATTATTAAGGCTAATATAGATTTTTGGCGACCTGAGCCAATTGATTGTCCTATTCGATGATTTCTGAGTATATTCCTTGAATAGTTTGCCTTAACAAAATCTGAAACTTTTCGCAAACTTCAAAGGTCGAGCCGTAATTAAGCATCAAAACCTAGTGGAACTTTACGCTTTTGCATGGCAGTAAGTTCTGTTAGCTAATAGCGGGCTGAGGTCAAAGCACATTGATAGAATCCAGTTAAATACATTGTGAGCGTTTTCAATAAGAGGATCAGTTCTAAATACTTCGGCGTCAGGAACGTGGCGAGCGACGACGTTTTCGCAAGGTAGATGGATGAGTACGTTCAATTTGGTCAAGCGAGTCGCTAAAGTGACCCCAAAAATTGCCCGCTATTGTGACACTGCACATGAATAGATCAAAATGAATTTAGTTCTATATAAGATCCAGTCTTTTTGCCTGAGCAAGAGGCCTTCCTATTTTTAGAAGTATATTACTCAACGCAATGCACATACCGGCACCGACATTTCAAAGAAAGATGATAGACGTGCAATAATAATAGGTTTACATCAAACCCCAAATATTTACTAAACTCTGTTGTGAAGTTCTTTCGAGCAAGCCATAGAATAAGAAAGCGATGAAAGCAAAATGGTCATATTAAACGAAAATTTAATTTGTAGCAGTGACTTGACTGAGAAGTTAGTCAGCAACGATTTTTGTGTACCAATCTGTTTACCCTCTAAAAACTTTACGTATGCTCTTATACGGAAATTTATTATTGTCATAAATAAGGCTACAGTTTCGTCGTTAAGCTTAAGAGCTGGCGATTACTTGATTTAAAATATATTTCAAGCATCGCACTTTCGCGTTGCGTGTTTTAGCCTTGCCCAATCTCGAACAGTTTGTATAATTATGTATCTTTTTGCTGCACTAAGTTTCTTTGTAGGTAACACACAAATGCTCATTTTTTTTGCAATTGTCTAGCTATTTTACTTATTTTGGCAGCATCTGTACGTTTAGGTCCGTTTGACGGCCTTTGCCCTGCCATTACTTAGATGTACCTGGCTGTTACAATGAGAATACGCATTTCACACGGGTCTTTTTTGATCCATTTCAGCACTGACATCGTCTGTGTGGAGGAGTTCGCTACTTGCTAACCTTGACGTTGTTAACTTCTGCTCCAAGAACACAGTCGATGTTCGCGTGATTGCTAATAGGTGCACGTACGAGAAAAGCGGTGCTCTACAATTCTACCCTATCAATCTGTCGTAAGATGTTCTCATCCATTAAATTTAAATTGCGGACAAGGCCAGTTCGAAAAATAGGTATACTTTTTAGGTCAGCTGAATGTTCTAGTTTCCCTGTTCAGCCGCATAATGCCGTTAGTGGCAAAAGAGTAATATCAACACAGAGTAGGTACGTTTGCGCTTCGAAGGGCGTGAGGCATGTTACTAAGTTGAACGGGAGGTTTCAAAAAAGCGATCCGGTTCAACGAAAGCAGAAACGTAGCTACAGAACTATACTATCGATACGAAGTGCATCATGTGTGCAAGCCAGATCAGAAAGACCCCGATTTTTCTTATGAGGCGAAGTAAACAATGAGGGGTTGCAATGTCAACTCAAAGGCTTATCGATACTGAAGACCGCCAGTATGAACAGTTCGGTTAATCAGCATTCAAATATTTAGTTCACCCACGAGGTATACCTGTTTTTCAAACTGGACTATAATCTTCTAGAAATGTACCTTTGTAAGCTGGAAAAATAATTTTGTTTGTCGGTGCGAAGTATATACACGTCTTCGGACGTATCTTGTATTAGTTTTTCTTTTTCATTAAATGTGAAATTGTACATTGTTGACCATCAAGTTCGATAAACAAGAATACTAAATAGTATTACTTTATTCGAGCACATACAATAATGTTGAACATATTGTTTACTGAACATACATGTTGAACACCTACAATAATGAAACTCCTGAAGAAACACAGCTCTCCGTTAAGGGCTTACTCAAAGTTTATGGGCATCATTTAGCTCCTTATAGTAAGACTCTGAAAGTCTGTGTCCAAACAACTTGAAATAGCTTTTCTGAACTACCTTGAACTGAACATAGTACCGATAGGTTACGAAAATACTTTGGGAGTTTCTAATAGATTGCATCCGATAGCCATGAACTGGATACTCGTTTCACAATAATTTGATTTTATAATGCAGGGGGCAAAAGATGCCTATAGGAGATTTGCCTCTGTACGTCACTTATCCGTTGTACCATGTTTAAATAAACCAAAATTATTTCAATACAACGAAAGCACATGTTTAAACTGGTGTAGAATAACTGTTGGAAGAGTATTTTCATATTTTGCATTTGAACACTCAACACTATTACGTGCTACGCTGTCTTAATCTCAACATATAGCATGTGTAACTCGTCTATGCATTATACATAACCATATGGTTTAAAACACCTAGCAGATAGGTGATAATACAACGTTTTTCTATACACATGCTGTACAGCTCCAAGCAGATTTGATCACACCGTTAGTTACGATTATCTGTGCATCAGCATCTTCTTAAGAGGTTTCAAGTCCCTTCTTCCTTATAGCACGCTAAAGAACAAACAGGCTGGACCACGCAGGTCCTTCAAGCCTAGAATTCTTGCTCCGATATAAACGAGAGAAGACGGAAATCGTCCCTGGCAGTCATGGATCTTTCGTGCCTCTGACCGGACCGTCCTTGGTATGCTCAGGCTCCCCATCCACCGATCGAAATGACCCTGACTACGCAGATCTTTCTCTACTGTCCGCTCGACCTGCTGTCCGTTAACAGAGACATCTTTGTGTACCGTAATGTCCGACACGCTTCTTCATGTCGCTTTGAATGTAAAGCGGCTAAAGGCCATGTGCTTAACTGCCCAGGTTGACCTCTCTCGTCGGAGAAACCAGGCGCCTGGCTGCCGTCCAGAGCTCCTTGAACGATGGCGACAACCAGGACGATGCAATGAAAAGCTAAGAAGCATGAGAGCTGAGCTGAAAGCATAGATCATGTGCCCTTACTACGTGCCCTAGAGACTTCCCGGTTAGTTTTACTTCGTAGCGAACTAGGCACATATCCTTACTAGCGCTGGATGCAGGCACGAGCCCATGCTCTCTTCCCGTATTCTGTTCTTTCTTCTCGCTTACTTCTATCGTTCAGTTCATAGCGCGTGCAGAAGGTTGAACCCTCCCCCTTGGCAGCCGTGTTTCTGTTGTACGTAGAGGAGAGGGCGGGACCTTTGAGCTCCTCCTCACATGCCCGCCTCCACCGGAGCAAACTTCGTAGACGCGTTGTGAATTGAAGAGCGCACGACTTTCCGTGTGAACAACGATATACGATCGGAAGAACGAAGAGCAGGGCGCATCTACCGGCTCTCCACATTGCGGTGAAAACTGCAGCAGGTTAGTCGTGAGCAAGCTGGCTTGGATTAGTCACAAATCTACTGCGCATTATCCAAAAATCACTCATGATACCTCGAGGTCCTTCAAGTAGCCTTTTTACTTTCATAAAGACAACCGAACAATTTTTATTGTGGATCTGGCCAAGTTTGAATCGTCTGCTTTTAACAAACATGTGGAAACTAGGTGATCGGGTCTGCTGCCGGGGATTTTGATGGCAATCTGAATGCTTCTCAAGGTGCTTAATGAAGTTGGACACAAATCGAGGAACTGCGTGAAACTAGCTTTCGAAGAGTGAAACGGCGCACAGTGTAGACCACACGAAGCGCTCGTACGAAAATACGAGCCAGAAAAGGATTTCAAGTCCTATTCGTCAGAGCCCAAACGGAGGACAACTGTCAGCGCTTCTCGGAAACATCATAGGGTGCCCAAGGTAACGTATTCATTCACTTAAGCTCTCAGCATCTTTTTCTACTAACTTTTTTTGCCTCTTTTATAATTTGTTCACTTGCTTTCCTTTCATCAAGAAAACGAACATGTGTATGTGATCACCTCTAAAATAAAACCACCTACAAATATATAATGGTACTCAACAAGAATACGATTATTTTCTATTCAAACGCAGGGCTGTTCTCGTCGAGAGACCCGAATGTCTCACGGAGAATCTGTTTAAATTGTGTGTAGAGAGGCCCGACGACAAAGGAGAACTAAATCGCGTTATTCAAAGGCGCCGCCGAAGCCTAGGCTTTGGATGAAGGCCGGTCGGAGTTCTCCCTCAATTCATTTCGCTTCACGTTCGCTGTCCGCTCGGAACCAGCCGATGTGCGCGGGACATATTGTGGGCAAAAGTCATTGTCTTGCTTGACAGCCCCGAACAAGGTGGTTGCGACGGGCCGAAGAACGAAGCAACCACGTTCTGCTGTCTACCCAGTTGCAGCTATTTTGGACGCCGGCAACGGTAGCAGCGGCACCACGGTTTTCGCGCTACTACAAACTTGACAAATTTCTAGAGAACGAGAGCGCCCATGTTGGACTGGGTAATGTACTGGAAAAGCGGCAGCGGTAGCGGAGCGTCTGGAGACAACGCTCACGCAGCAGGCGGCTGGGAATAGTGAATAGGGGGTTACCGAGCTGCGGGGTTTGTTGCGAAGCAGCCTTTTGTCAGCAGTAGAAGCACACAGTGTTTGTCATCTCCCGTCAAGTCCCCCCCCTGCCCCGCTCGCCCCCCAGTCCGGCGACCTGAATTCAGTGGCGCATTCTCTTTCTCCGAAGACAACGGAAGGAAAGCCCTTTATGAACGGGTGAGGCGCTCAGAAATGACTGAACTCACGAGCGAGTGAACAAGAAGGTGAATGTAGCCTAGCTTAAGCCAGCAAGAAATGGAGTTGCAGTCTCATGGAGCAGGCCGTTAAATTGTTTGCCCACGTAACGGTCTATAGTTATAGCTTTCTGGAAGCTGCCAGTGCAAAGCTAAAGCAAAACAAAACAAAAAATTGGCAGAAATCGTTAGCTGACAACGACGGCGGGTTAATGACGGCGGGTTTATAAGTTAGTCACTACGGTAACAAATAGGAGATTACCTATTGGTGGGTCCTAACCCCTTGTCCAGACGATGCACGTCTGCGTGAAGGTTTGCTTTTACTGTGGCCGCCTCTTACTGCTTCTGATAAAATTAAATAGTGTGTACATAATAATGGAAATATTTAAACTACCGGCATCTATTTGTTTCTGCTATAGCGCCTTGATGTTTAAGCAATTGTTCATAGATATAGACATATTTTGTTTATCATTCTCTAGCGAACCCCTCAGGTTAGGTCAAAATCATAGACTCAAATGGCTGTCCAAATTGAATAAAAGAAAAGATCCAAGACAAGCGAAATATAGTAAAGTATTATGTTGGTAGCACAATTCACTGAGAGACTGCCATCTTGAAAATTGAAACGCAAGGAAAACTCGGTCTCTGGTAAGGAATTTTGTATAAGTCAATGCGCGCTTCAAACTTTCCACAGTCTAATGCGCTTACTTCGAACCTACAGATATCGAGAGTGAACTTCATCGCTTCAAAGAGCTTATACAAGATGTCCAGAAAGATCTACACTCGCGTCTTGAAAGCTCAGGAACGCTATTATTTCCTTCATTCAATAAACGCTAGCGTACCTTTCAGTTGTTTCTTTGTCTATTTCGGAGTGGGTGTATGTTTGAAGAAGCGGAACCATATCATGGAAATGTTGCAGGGTCTAAGGTTTCAACGGATAATTACGTCAGTTTTTGGGGGTTTAAGAAAATCACTCGAATAGTGAGACAAATAATGAGGCCCAAATCGATTAAATTACTCTCTGCTATTCCCTAACAAAGAGTAATTCACTGCAAACTTACGTTTGGTTAACATTGAACTCTCTGACTAGTGTTCACTGCGGCACGAAACAGTATTGATTAAACTGGTTATTGGTATCTTCGACTCTATAGCGAGCACGTATGGAGACCCGTACTTGACATTACTTTTATTTTTTAAGTTTTCTCTGGATGATGCAATTAAGTTTATTAGTTCAGCGCAACTAATCAACCCAAGAACTATCTTGCATACATTCGAATGCCGGGATTATGAAGCAGTTTTTTTATAAAGGAGATACACAGAAGCGCTTGTTGAACATAATACCGTCGCCAATTTGTCTTATAAATCTGACCTGATAGTACGCCCAGAAAACACGTGGAGCAGCTATTCCAGGGCATTTCAAAGCCTGATTTTCTGATAAAGCGTCCGAAAGTCGCATTGGTTCGATGTGTCGAGCGGAGGTTGCTATAACAACTAGGTCACGCCCACAGCACTTACGTCTACTTACGTTACTACGAGCAATCCATTCATTGCCGAGGACTACTTAATGAGGGCACAACATTCGCATTGAAGTATTATACCTACTAAGCAATGCATTTGTTCATATTTATCTAAGAAGGGACTAAGATACCAATGATCTTACATCACGCGGTAGCCTCGTGTTTTATCATCCCCAAATGTACAAGCTGGAAAATAACATAGTCGGCGACTCTAAACTAAGTGTGTCATGGTAACCCATGTTGGCTGCGGCCTACGCCTAAAACGCGGGGCCTATAGAATTGCAAAATGACAAAGTTCACTGATCACTTGAAATAGTAAACGTTACTAGGCTACCCCGTTAGCCATTATTGTATAGCTGCTGAGGAATCGGAACAAAATCTCCATTGGTCAACGTCAACATTAGCAATTAAACTAAAAAAGCTAAACATTATACGCCTTGCAGTGATCTTAAATCTGTGATACAAGCAACTATTTTGGAAGAGATGGGCATATCGACCGTCTGTCGGGTCGTTTATGTTCACCTTTTGCGATTTCCTGGTGTAGGAATGAGTCTTCAAATTCTCTCCGATGAGTTTAGATATCTTAATATTGCTTCACTCATAGTTACCGTTCAAAGACTTTTCGTTAGCTTAGAGATGGCGTATCCTAAAGCCGCTGGTCCGCCAGTAAAGCTAGGAATAAGAGAGGTTATCTATGCGCTTTAGCTGCATTGAATTAACTAATTCGTCAGGAGGTCTAACGGCGGTACGTCTGGGCGTAAAACTCGAAACCTTTATTTAGGATCGTTAGGAACACCCCAGTCCCGCTACGGCTTATTCAAATGAAAATTCACAACAGAATATGTCCAGCTGTCCGGGGGGTATTTACAGGATTAGAGTTGTGACGCTGCTATAAGAATATGTCTGAGATCCACAAAACACATCCAGATGTATTTCAGGTGGCTGAAAAAAAACGTGACATTCTATCAGAAGGCAGTAGTAAATGATCTTATAAAAATTATCATAGCTTTTTCGTCATAGAATAGAGCGTACACTTGTTACTTTCGTGAAGTTCAAAATTTACCCAACTCTGGGGGGCTGTTGATGAGTGTATGCGATTCAGAGTTTCACTTGAATAATTTTATCATAGACGAGTGAAGACTTTAAAAGCGTTCGAGGTCGATTAATGAATGGTTCCTATATAGATAAGATTCCAGTGAATCTGCTGTGGGATCGATAACGTGTTAATTGCAGTTTACTGCGTCGTCAGCCAGATATACAAAGTGGCACTTTCTATGCAAACAAAAGTTTGATCTTTCGGAACTCATACCTTCTTTATTAACTTAGATGAAGCACTTCCGGCCCTATGCTTGGGCACTGCAACTGAAGCCGTGATTATCAACTGAAATAATATATCGTCGATATAATATATAGTTGATTTAGCTTTTTAAAATAACTTATTCCTTCCGAAACTCTAAAGTAAGTTTAGGTAGAAAAACAACGAAAAAGTGATAACAAACCGTTACGTAACTCAATTCACTTGGTATCTTCAAGGTCATTCAGCAATGTCATATAGGACAAAGACATAATAGTCTACATCTCACAATATTGCCTGATGTTCATTCAAAGATGTTGATAACTACTATCATTCAAAATTGCCGCGGGAATTTGGCTTCAGAAACGGGCACCTATATTACACTTATATTGGCCACTTGTTTGTCATATTTCCTATTGCTCTACCACCACTAATAGCGCGATCCAGCAAATGTTGATTCCTTTTTGTAGAGACAAATGACAAGTCTCGTTTACAAAATTAGACCCTCTGGTAGAGACAACACCTCCTGTGAAGGTACACGTTACAAGAACCAATACGCACCGACCTTACTTTCGTTTATGTCACCAAATAAGCTTGTTAAGGAAAGACAGCCGTAATTCTGCCAAAATACTTTGAAAAATCATAGGTTATAACCTTGCACAGCTAAAGATTTTTCATGGTTTTATTAGCTCTCTCAGATAATGTAAGCATCGACTATGTATTTTCGTAAAAATATACTCGCCTTTTAAATGACTTGTACGCAAGCACACATATCTCCGACGTTGCTTTTCTTTACAAGGGTAAATTTATATGGCGGCACCGTTTAAATATCTATTATTTTCCGAAGGATTATCCCGTGTTATATATAAATTCAATATAAAGAAGCTATTGCGAGGAGAAATTACCAAGTAGCCCGGAGTATTGAGGCGTGCGGCTGACAATGCAGCCCATAAAACATGGAGAAAAAGGAGGAAAGAAAGATCGAAAACGATGATTAACGCAGCAACAAGACAGAATCATTCTCATAAAGCTACAGAAAACTTGATTTGTAACGGTACCTCGACTACGTTAGAGAACGGCAGAGCCTAGAGTTACTGCGTCCATCAGAACCCGACAAGGTTGTATGTTAATTAATGGCTTTAACTGTCATAGTGCAAGCGTTTTAATTGGGCTAGACGGTTTTTTTCAAAATTGGGTAACTGGAAGCTTAGAAAAAATCTGTCTTCCAGATTTTGGACAGTAACGCTCAACAGTTTTACAGGCATTGACACGAACGTTTCGACGAGTCCTATGTAACTTAGCATGCC